GACCTCGACCCATCACAATATTCAGCTCATGCTGCTCACAGGGGCTTAACTCCTGCAAATTTGCCATCACTGGCTGCCTCGGGTGCCTGTGCATGGCTCAGCCTTTCTCTGGGCCTTGGTCCCAATTGCACGAGGGACATCCAAGGTCCCAGGGTGGCGTGGGAGCTGCAGGAGCAAAGGGAGCAGCAACTACACTGCTAGGGCTGGCCAAACCTCTGAGCCGAGGACACCCGGGGAGCCCCAGGGACCTGCCCCCGCCCAACCCCAGACCCCGTGGGGGCAGAGCTGGGCCCTTGTGCCCACCTCCCCAGCGCAACCCTGGGCTCTCCTAGCCCGTTCAGCGTCCTTCTACACCAGGAAGCCCCCAGCACTAACCTCTGGTCCCTGCAGGTCTTCTTCAGCCGCGACCAGAGCCGAGCCCAGCTGGTCATTGACGGGCTGCGAGCACAGGAGGCCACCACGACCACCGCAGGGCACTTCCTAGCTCGGACACCCTTCTACGTGGGGGGAACGCCAGCCGGGATGGCCAAGGCTCACATCCCGGTAAGGGGTCGGCAGTCCCACGGTATCGCCCCGTGCGCGTCGTTCCTGGCCCCTCCCCATCCTCACTCCCGCGGCCTCTCCCCGCAGGTTGCTTCTGCCTCCAGCTTCGACGGGTGCCTGAGGAACCTGCAGCTGGACGGGAGGCCCCTGGGCCCCCCGTCGCGCACCGTCGGGGTGACGCCGTGCTACGAGGGAGCCCGGGAGAGCGGCGTCTTCTTTGCTGCAGAGGGCGGGTCCATCATCCTAGGTACCCACGGCAGCCTGGGCTGGCCCCGTGGCCCTCAGCGGCCACTGATGGGGAGGGACATGTCTCGTGGGAGGCCGCTTGTCCCCATCTCCCCCCTCACCAGTGACATTTTCCCTGCAGCTGACATGGTGGCAACGGGGCAGGACTTGGAGGTGATGCTGGAGGTCCGTCCCCGCAGTGCCTCCGGCCTCGTCTTCCACATTGGCACAAGGAGAAACCCCTACCTCCAGCTGTACATGGACAAGGCGAAGGTAGGGGGAGGGTGGCCCAGTGGGTGCCCAGCTAGCCCCCAGCTCTACGCAGCCCCCTCTGGAGCTGGGAGAAGGAGGAGGGGGTGACACCAAAGCCACCCTGCTGCACGGGGGCTTCCCAGGGAGAGCCTGGCCCAGGGGGATGCAGGGGGGCCCCGTTTCCCAGCTGCACCTTTTCTCACAAGATGAGATGCCCCTGAGGAGCACCTGAGCTTTCTGCAGGGAATGTAGCAGAAGGAGCCTGATCTGCCAGGTTTGTCTTGCTGCCCCAGGTCACCGTGAGCGCCAGCGCCGGGGCTGATGAGTTCTCCACGTCGGTGATGCACTCGGCTCTCTGCGACGGGCAGTGGCACGCCATCACAGGTGAGGTGACACCACACTCAGCTCCAAGCAGCCAGAGGTCAGCTCTGAGACAGCTGCTCCCCTCTCCTGGGAGGAAGCCCCAGCCCTGACCCCTTCCTTGGGTATTTAAGGCCCTTGCTCCCACCTGTAAGTACGTACTTAATTTAGGACATTGTAGTTGCCAGTAAGTCATTTGCTAATTAGCTTCCTTGCCTGATGTTGTTAGTGGTGTCACACCTGGTGAGCAGGAGGGAGGTGGTGCCTGGCTAAGGCCAGGGGACACCCTGCGTGCCCAGCACCCCACCGCAGCCCCTCGAGCACTCCCAGCCTCGGCTCGTTCCACCATGGGCCCTTTCTGCTAGCAACAAGAGCTCTGTTGCCTCCCACCTGGCTCAGTTTGTGTCCAAAGGGCTCAAACCCTGCAGCTGGGATCAGTGTTTTAGCGGGGGAGTGTTTTATCACACCTGTGAGTTGCAAAACTCAGCAATTAGAGCATTTGCCATTGAGTCAGTGCTGAGGTTTTGCATCAGGCCCCCTTAACCTGGTGCGGGGCAGGGGGGTAATAAGGTCCCTGCAGGAGGGAGGAGGGGGAATTGTTCCTGGGGTGAGGACGCTGCACTGATTGCTGACTCCTTTCTAAGTTATCAAAAGGAAAAACATAATCCAGATTGACGTGGACACAGAAGGAAACTACACAGCGGGCCCCAGCCAGGCGTCCCAGCCTCCTGCGCCCGGGGCGAGGGCGACGTTCCACCTGGGAGGGCTGCCAGGTGAGTTGGGAGGGGTGTGGAGCACCTCTCGGCTCTCGAACAAACCACCACAAAGCCCTAAGTTGCTATTCCTGCTTTAAGAGGTACTTAATTCCCTGCTCAGCCACAAATGAATTCATTGTGCCTCGTGCCCCTTTTCTCCCCAAAACCGCAGTAGTGCAAGGCGGCCGTCCCAGAGTAGCTCTGTGGGGTCCTGCAGAGCTGCAGCAGTAGCCGTGGGCTGCCAGCAGCTACTGGTTGAGGTCTCAGCAGCACTTGCAGGGGGAGGGAGGTGTTTGGGAAGCCTCCTGTGATAGATCTCACTTACGTCAAAGACTCCTTTGGTTTGTGGCCAGAGACCTTTGTGGGGGGACCCAACGCTATCACCCAGCCAATCAGCAAGGCCCCAGGGCGCGTTACCACAGCAGTTATCAGACTTGAGCTCGTTCCAGTAGCCCCAAAGACGCTGTGCCGCAGCCCCTGCCCATCATGTCACTCAGCCAGGCTCAGCAATGCTGCTCAGTAACCAGACTAATACTTGGCTTTACCTTTTTCCTTTTGCAGAGACAACCAAGGCCAGCCCGGTATGGCCGTTGCCTCCGCTCCCTCATTATGTGGGCTGTATAAGGAATCTGGTGATTAACCGGAGCCACGTGAGCCTGCTGCAAAGCGGGACTGTCAGGGGCTCAGTTGGCCTTAAGGGTTGCCCCGTGCTATAAGTGCACCTCAGTGTAAAGCCTGACGGACGGAAAGCTGCACTGCTCCCTGAGCCCCAGCTGTTACTAGATTTGCTTAACAGTGGTCAAACATACTTGATCTCCAGCAACTGCCGAGCAGGCCTGCAGCTGCAAGTCAGGGGCCAAAAGCAGAGAGGGGCCAGGTACCTATAGGGAAGGCGGGCAGGGGAGAAAGGTGGGAAGAAGGGGGCACTTCAGGGCCCCCTTTTACAAATATAACCAAAAAGTCTGAGCAGGAGCTAGGGCTAACTCCTTCCCCAGTGGTCAAGCATCTGCAGCAGGACTCCTTCTGACACTTGGCTCATGTCCTTTATAGAGTGTGGGCTTACGCATGCGGCAGCCACACACTCACATCTTAAATCCTGTTCCCCTTTCCCCGCACTTAAAATGCACATAGATTTTACTTCACAGAACACTTCAGGCTATTAATAACAGTCACAGACTGTCTTCTGCTAAAGGCTCTAGGCAGCCCCTGTTTTATAATAAATGCAATTAGGACAAACTGGATTAATTCTGTCACTTTTGTGTTTTTACAAGCAAGGATGCATTTAACCCCCCCCCACCCAGGGTCACTCTTGGTTCACCTGCCACTGCTCTACAAAAAAAGCTCTGCAAGGGGGACTTGAAGATGAAATTCTGTTTACAGCATTAGCCTCTTCCATTCAGATTAATTTAAAACAATTCCCCCCCCCAAAAAAACAAAAACCCCCCCACCACCACCCCCCAAAAAAAAAGGCTGGAAAAAGTGCTGAGGGAAAAGTAGAAAGACATTACAACTGCCACACCTAGATTATCTCTCTGCAGTTACATTCAGTGCCATCCAATACACTGGCAAAAAAGTCCTGTTGTATGAAGCAGAAAACTTCTGCTTGAAAGGGAAGAAATAAAGAAAGGTTACCTCTAAGCCTGGTTGGGTTTGAGATGTCATTTTTTGCCTACGTGTGTGTGTATACATACATTTTATATATATATAAAATATATATGTGTGTGTGTGTTTGTGCGTGTGTGTGTGTGTGTATATATATATATATATTTCTAGACACACAGGGACAAAATCTTGCTTCTGAAATGGACTTATAACTTATATCATTATATTGTTTTTTATGAGGGGTAAATATTGTAAAAATGGGGTTTTAACATGTCTATCTTAAACAAATGTAATTATGACCTGTTTTTCAGTTGTAGTATTAAAGATGGTCTTTGTAAATCACTGGTACATACTTTGGAGTTGAATAAAGTTTTATGTTACTCTCTTTCACTTGACTAGTGAAGAGCAAGTATGAGATTTATGTAGAACTGGAATAATCACCACCACCTCAGGAAATGTCACCAAGGGACATATCTGTCACAAGCAGTTCCTGCTCTGGCAGCATCTCTAGGTGCTACTGCCCTAATTCCTAGCACGCTACCTGCAGTGGTAGTGCTCTGAAGTTCATGCAGTTGAACCTCCTGGAGTTCAACAAAGGTGAGGACCTGCACCCGGGACAGGATGAGCCACGCAGCCGTACATGCGGGACAACAACTCGGTTAGCTGGCAGCTTTGCAGAACATGACCTGGTGGGCAAGAAGTTGGATGTGAGTCAGCCCTATGTGCCCTCACGGCTACAAAAGACAACTGCATCCCGGGCTTTATTAGCAAGAGTGTAGCCAGCAGGTTGAGGGTCGTTCATTATTATTCCCCTCTCTCATACAGCCCCCAGCCTTAAGGTACCTACCCCCTGCTTACACAAATGAAAAATACTTTTTACAACTTACAGTAATGCAAAGCAGCAACTAACAAAGCACAAGGAAGGCACTCCCTATTTTCCACTACTTAAGAGTCTATCCAACTACTCGTATAATCAACTCTCAAGACTTCATCACAAGGCAATCTAAAGAACTGGACTAGCCCTATGTCAAAAAGCATCCAAACTGAACTGTAAGCACCTCCACAGAAAATAAACAGCAAGTACTACTGAAGTGCATGCTAAATAGACTGAGAAAACCAGTATGGCAGATAAAGAAAATTCCTTTATTTGTAGATTTATATAAGCATAATATGAAGTTAGTAATCCTACTGCAGTTGCTTAAGTTAGTTAGTATCTAGGAATATCTGTAAGGAAGAGCAAATAACTTAATCTAAACTCATATCTTCCTCTTCATCTTTCTTGTCCTTAGAGTCGCCTTCCTTTTGGTCTGACTTGACACTGTTCTGCATTGCTTTGGCAAACGCTTCTACATCTAAAAGTTAAAACACAGTTATTTAACTTTGCATTTTCAGGGACAGCACAGGATTCATTCGCCACATGAGGTTAAGCTTCCTTAGTTGAAAAATAAACAGTTCCTTTAGAAAGCAGCTTTTAATAAAGGTTTTTGTTTTTGTTTTAACATTCATTCATACATAGTGCACATTTGGATACCTCTGACATACCAGCCTTTTATGGCGTTTAACACTTGTGTACAGACAGCCTACGAACAGAGTTACTTGAGCAATGGAATGGGTTCTAAAAGCTCATCAGGGAACAGGGATACCTCCTCCCCCTACAGTGCTTAATGCCTCAACTGTGCACTTATTTCAAATGAATCATTAAAGATTCTCACAAAAGAAGGCACTCCTAAACAAGGTGACTATGACATTTCCAGTATCTTTTGTATCTCTTTCAAGAAAACCATCACAAAGCTACTTAGCACATCGCTTTGTAGAACCTTGCATTCTCTAAATGTCAGTCTGACATCAATGGCTGCATCTGCTGGGGAAAACCTGAGCCACCCACTTTTTTTTCATTTTAAAAGAAGGAGTGCAAGAGTCAACATTTGAAAGTTACTCAGACTCTATGTGCAGTGGTTACGTACAGTGCAAGAGGGATACCTAATCATGCTCCCAACAACATAAATACTTACCGCCTTTATTTGCTGCATCTACTGCCTCTGCTGGTAAGCCAAACTGGCTCATTAGGGGGCCAAGCTGTCCAGAAGCTAGGGCAGCACTGAACATGCTCAATGCCTGTGAATTAAAGTCAACAGCATCAAATAAAGTTTGCATCACGTTTCTCCAAGTCCACATGGTTACTGTGTAATAACCTAATGACGACAACATTCTCTGTACACGTCCATAACCTATTACAATAGGCCGACCATATGACCTGCCTAGGAGCAGCCTCTCTCCTTTAAAAAAAAAAAAAATTACTGCACTTAACTAGATGCCATATAGCCAGGGTCACTGCTGCAGGAAGCACAAACTGATAGGCCCCGCTAGAACACAGACTTAGCAGCACACCAAACCACAGTGACATAACTTCCAGCCAATTCTGAGCATGGACAACTTGAGCTTTTATCTACCTGCAGAATAGTTTTTCAAATACCAGATGAACAACATTCCTCATCGCTGAAGTCTTGTCTGCACAAAGGAGTTGCCATAGTTTAACCTAAAGACATCCTTCTTTAGCCAATGAAATTTTGTATATTGACAAATTTCAATGGCCTACAATAAACCAGATTTAATCTGAAAAGCATGCCCAAACAGACTTTGAATTACATACTAGTGTTTTAAGAGGAAAAAGGGACGTAGTGTTGTGAACATCAGCATCTCTTCTCTTCCCTTCCAGTCACTTGTGCAGTCACTTGAAACTAGCTTTAAGGAGACAGCTTGGAAGATATATTTTTTTAAAGAAAATAATGAATTTGTTACTACATCCGCTGTTATTTGCCAGAGATAGAAAGCATTTATAATAGAGAGAAAGGTAGAGCCCAATTCCAAAAGAGAAAGTAAAATATTCTAATCTGCCCCTTGGGCAACCACAGGAAGGAAGAACAGCGTTTCATTAAGTCATGTCCCTCCCCGCTTGCTTCCACTTCTACAGAACGGCTTGCTACTCCGAACAGTGGCAGAAACCTGAAAAAGCAGGGTCACGCAAGTCAGCCCACATAGGGGAGGAGGAAAGGAGAGCTGCACTTCAAGTGACAGTGAGGCATCTACCTGCTGAAACTGAGGAGATGTCAGGGTATTCTGAATCTCTTCTGCTGTCTGCGGCAGAGATTCCCCTGAGGGAAGGTAAGGCATCAACCGCTCTGGAACTTCGGCATTGGCTAGAATGGGAGCCATTATCTCAGGAGTCAGAACAGTAGCCAAGTCAACTAGGAAGAAAATAAACGGTTGATTGTTAGACTATGCACAAAAAACACATTTTGCCACATTAACCAAATGATCTTGTCAGCGGAGTACCGAAATGTATTGAGCAATTGCTAGCATCCTCTCAGTTTTGGAACAAGATTAAGATTCTTGGAGTGGTCAAGAAGAATAGCACTCAAATGAAAAAAAGAACAAAAAAATTTAAGAGACCTTTCAAACCAATTTGGAACAGGATAGGACAGTAAAACAGCTCCAAAGGACTCCTGGATCCAACAGCTGTCTGGTCAGAACACTGTTACCTTGCTGTCCTCCTGCTCCAGATGGCACATTCATAGTAGCTAAAATGTTCTGAAGGTCACTCAATTGAATGGGCTGGGTTGGGCTTGTGGCTGAGCTGGTTCCATTACCCGAACTCGGTACAGGACTCGGACTGGTCACAGATGCAGCCGCAGGAACAGACGGGGCAGGCGTTACACGTGTAGAAGAAGTCGTGGAAGATGGTGTCACAGCAGCTGACTGGCTGCGAGAGCTGGAAGGATAATTAGTATAACTGATTGATTACCTGCAAAAAATAATTTTGTTCCTCCTCCCCTTAAAAAAAAAAAAAAAAAAAAAGACAACTTCTTTCTAGCCCTTGCAACATAAAGAGCTACCACCGTCATTCTAGAGAGGTAATAAGCAGTCTTAATTCCCATTATATTTTCTGCTCAGCAGGCCACAATTCCTCCCTCGTAAGTGGCAATTTTACATTACAAAATCATTACAAACCCAGACCACATAGGTATCCTACCTTGATGATGAACTGCTGGTCGGGGGTCCCCCACTTCCAAGTAAACTAGCCAGTCCAGGACCTGTCAGTGCACCCAGCCCACCTTCCATAAAGATAAAAAAAAGAACAGGTTTAGAAGCTTCTTCCTTTCTTTCTTTGCACCTCTCTGGTCCAGAGAGGTCATTCTTGTACCTGAAAGGTTTTATTTGCTAAAACAAAGGAGGAGGGGGTGAAAGAGCCCAGACCAACCCCTCCCCCCTTTCTGTATATAAACAGCTCTCATTTTCTGATTTTGCATTCCTGTTATTAAACTCTCAGAGATAGCTGCACGTTTTAGAAATTATTCAATTTCTAGCTGATCACAAAGATGAAATGACTTTGGTTTGTGCCACACATACACAATCATTATCAGAGAATCCTCTCCCTCTTATCTACTAGTTTCCAAACATCCAACTTTTCCCTAAACTTTAAAGCCAAGGCCCTCAGCAGAAAGACTGTAGAGGCAACCTTTGAGCCACCATCATCGTCTTCCCTCATACACCCAGATTTCTTGCAACTTCAAATCTAATGCAGAGATGCAGCGGCAGAAGCAACCGAGCCCTTAAAACACTTCACAGGCAGGGCAAAATGAAGACAATCCCGTGCATGAGCACTCCCAGCAGAACCAGAAAAAACAGCAGAAAACCAACACTGGGCCTTTGAGTCAACTGTCATATGTAAAAGAAATTAGAATCACAGCCTCCTTCATCCACACTGCTATTCACAACTACCAAGAACTTGCGGCAGCATCAAGAACCTCAGCTAAAAAGAGCTAGGGAACGGTTTGGCTTCTAGATCCATTAGAGTTGTTGGCCAACACGGCTCAAAAGAATCCTAGTCACCAAGTGCTCCATTTATCACACGCTTCCCATTCAGGGGTTTCTTATACCACATCTAATCAGATACACCTTCCTATACTAGCATCTGCATTCATCATCCACCTTTTGGAACTATCTGCAAACACAGAGAACAAAATGACAGCGCTCCATTAGCAAACACACGAATGACTGAAACTGCAGAAATCTGGAGATGTCAGAGCAAGTACTAAGCCACCTGTCTGGTACTTGTTCACTAATCACATTGCTTCCACAGCAGCAGAAACAGCACAGTAAAGCTAACCAGGTTATATATCACATGCTACTCTACTGAGTTTGTCCTTGCTGGGAAAAATTTACCCAGGAGCTGCAATAAAGGCAGAGTCCCGAGAGAGATGCAAACCAGGTGTAAAAGAAAAATATACTACTGGGGAGAAAGATCCATCCAGTTCCACCATAACCACTGTTTGCAGACTCAAGCAGATAGTTTTATGTGCATTACAGTAGTTAGCTTCACGTCAGGCTGTCTTACAATTAGATGTAAAGGCAAAGAAAGAAGAGCTGCTGACAGTTAAGTACTGAGAGTAAGAGGAAATAAGTTTCAGGAGTCCTCTGAAGCTTCAAGAAGGAAGCAAGAAAGCCTTTTCTAAACAGATCCTAAGAAGTCAGACTCTTCCAACAATCATTTCCCCCACCATCAGATTTGCATTTGAAGCTTACACGGACACTACGGCTAGATCCACAAAAAAGGACTTTGGAGCTTAAGCACAAAACCTTTGTCATTGCCACCTGCTAAGCACTCCTTTGCCTACTTCAAGGGCAAGGTCTGATTTCTCAGGAAATGCTCTACCGGGCTTTGAGCATGGACAGTGCTAAGAGGGGACTGCAACAGTGACTCCAACCCATCTCTCATTCCCTATAGAGAAACAGCTCACTGATTCAAGCTCTTCCCAGCAATGCCCAGAAGAGAAAGCCCTAACCTTCTGAGCTATAGATGACAGTGGGGTAGGTACACGCTAGCCTTCCTCTTGAAGCCATTCTACTTTGCATACAAACATGCAATATATCAGAGACAACACGAACAAGACTCTATAGCTTGATAACTGGGCTATAAACTTTGGACGAGTCCCTCTTGTTTAGGGACTCACTCACGCTCCAGGGAATATTTAGGAGGAAGAGGAGGGGAAAAAAAGTGAAAGACTTAGCGGAGCAAGGAGCAGAACCTACGTTCCTTGCAGATCAAGCCCTAAGAGGAGGGCCGTGTTCTGGTTCCCTTCCTTTCCTGCATCCTTTCTTGGCCCCTTAGCTCATCATCTTTGAGGTAGGGCCTTGCTTTCTCATGTCAAGGAAGTGCTATTCAAATCAACAGCACTACTTGAAAATATTAATCGTCAGGTAAGATTTAACCTGGCAGGAGAAAACACCACTTTGGCATAAAGATATTAAAGCATTTTACCAAGTCCTCCTAAGCCCGTTGGTCCGATCAGCTGCATGAGCTGGTTATGGCTCATGTTTCCAAGAAGGCTTTGCAAGCCACCCTCACCTAAAAACAAAAACATTCTGAAACACAACATATTCACATAGTTTTTTCACAACACTCCGGCTCAAACAGCAGGAGATTAATTGGCATCACATTCTGTATGGAAAAAAAAAACAGTTTCAAGTGTTTACTGATTCATGATGCTCATAAAAGATAAATGCAACTTGACTTCATAAAGAGGTAAGACTCCAGAGAATCTGTTGGCAACAAGAGAGATTTCTTCTGGCAGTCTTAACTTCAACCTCCACCTATTAAAACAGTACATTTTATTTGACTAAAAGCATGTTTACACTTTTTGTATTAACATCGTTCCCAACTCACCCTCCAAAGTCCTCAGGAATTTCTTCCTAGGAAACTACAAGTGCTTATTTTCTAAAAAAGCCTCTCACATTAAAGAGCAGAGAATGGACTGTACCTCCTAATGCTGAGAGTTCATGGCCTCCACTTGCGTTACCACCTAAAGCACCAGGCATTGGGGGATTGTTAAGATACTCATTCACTTTACGGCAGTGTTCTTCATCTTTATCTGTCTTCGGCTCCTGTAAGAAAGTTGTTCTTACACCTTCAAGACAAACTGGAAGTTTTTTGTTTCAAGACCTACGTTATTTACTTCTTACAAACCTGCATCCAGAAGAAGAGTCGTTTTGATCCTGCTTTGAACTTCAACACATACACACGACCAGTAGTACACTGAGGTACCCTCTTGAATTCACAGTCATCAGGAAAAATAATCAAATCCTGGAAAATACAGCAGTAAGAAGAAACGTTTCAGGAAATACCTATTATTGCTTTTAGCCTCCCACAAAGGCCTCTGCCCTCCTCTCTGAGCCCTCTTCCATGCTGTTCCTCAGGGCAGAGGATATAAACACGCCTGCCTGTCAAGTCACAGTGACATTCTCATCCGAATTTGTCTTAGAAAAGCTCTTTCAGCAGTGCCGACAAAACATAAACAAGACAATACCGTGACTTAATACCCTGAAATATAAAATTATACTTACATCTTCAACATTGCCTGAAGTCCTGTCTTTCCAGCAAAAGTGAATGAGGGAATCATCAGTTTGCTGGATGTAAACGAGGCCTTTTCTCTTGTCTGGGGTTACAGTGCTGCCTTTCAGGGACATCTTTCCTGCCCGAAATTCCACCAGGTATTTGCTGGAAGAGCCACGGGAGCCTGGCACCAGGCTTGGAAACAATGCACCTGAAGACATCCTGGAATAGAGCGAGATCAGCAAATATGACAAGAAAGCTTCCCATGTTCTCTCAAGACTTTATAAAATGAACTTTGCAAAAAGATCCCGTTCCCCTGGCTCCAGGAGTCAGAAGGCCCTCCAAAAGCTAAAACAGAACCCCAGAAACCCTATGGCTCCTCCATATAATATAACTCCATTACCGGCAAGGAGAACTTCTGCTAAGACACTTGCAAACACAATCACCTTCTCCCTGCAACTTCTCCCTTTGGCCTATATTGCAGTTCATGAGATCAAAGACCTTTTAATTGCATAAAGCCCTACTGTAATTCTGATCTTCTGACTCCTGCTTCAGCGACTAGCGCCAGAGCTGATCTTCACGGTTAACCTCTTTGCTACTAAACGCTGTTTGTCCCCGCAGCCTCACACACCGCAGTTTCTGAGCAGTACAAAGCCTGTTTCTCAAATAATTTCTGCATCAGCCTAGAGCGTGCAGACGTTACTGCCTGTTACAGCAAATAACATCAGCCTAAATGACCTCGCAACTGTTTTTTTTTTTTTTAAACAATAGCTCAAGCTTCTTATTAGCCGCCCCCAGTGAGCGCCTGGCTGGGACGAGGCACCCCCAAAGCACCCTCGCTCCTGCGTGCCGCGGTCACGGCACACCAGGACGGGCCGGGGCCGGCCCC